GATCTTACCAGAGAGAAAAAATGTCTTACCTGTTTATTTCCAAAGTAGGTTATCCTAAGCACCTGGTTTAAGAGAGGCATGTTAGGCACCCTTGACTAATTAGGTGCAAATATCAAGAATCAACTTGGAGGGTGGTCCCTGAGGGAGGCAACCCATATGACCTACAACTTCACCTGAATATCAGCACAGGATGTACAATCATGCTTTGCACAATACACACACTCGCGGCAGGAAGACAAGTCTGCGGAATTGGTGTTTGCTTAGTTAACTCACCAAGATCAAATAACAATCATAACATATTAAATTTGATGGATTTCTAGTTTAGAACTATAGTATGGATTTTATTTCAGTTTTCAATGTCATCAAGCCTTTAAAACCAATCTTCAGAGGGCAAAAAATTGATATGTTCTGTACAACTGATTCAAAAACCTGTGTCTCATTACCACTTCTGAGTTTTTCGTCTATTACTCTTCCGGTAACAAATACCTGGCCCATAACAGCAATACAGTATAGTAAACATATTTAATATAAAATTATTTTTAGAATAATTGAAATTTGAGATAATCTAGATCTGAATGATAACGCAGCTTTGACTTACTAAATACAGTCAAACCCCTCCTTCGGGACACCTCTATTCAGGAATCACCCCTATTCAGGGGAGACCCCTATTAAGGCGACACATTCGGGACCAAAAAAAGTGTCCGCTTAATAGAATGTCCCCTGAATAGGGGTTGGTCGTAGTGTTGAAAGAAATAGCGTACTTTCCCTCTTTTTGTGGCATAAAAAGTTTCCCCTAAATAATGGTGTCCCAAAGGAGTTCTAATGCATCAAACTTGTATCTCCACTATGCTCAAATTTTTAGCACATGGTCTTTTTTACTACTGCATAGTAAGGTTGTAAATTGCCTTAATTGTTATCAATCTTTTTGGAAATTACAGAAAGACGTTCATTGTGTGAACTAAAGTTCACTGTGAATAAAGTTCTTAATCTGTAAATAAGTCCACCTCATAAACTGAAATAAAACTGGCAGTAATAGAGTGATAAAGCTAGTTTACACTTCGTGAAATATATCCCTTCATTCTGTACTACTGAGGAGGGACTAGTATTGAAAAAAGCTCTCATTCTTTTTTTAGTTAACTTAAATGTACATTTTAGCTTTTGCTTATAAAATTGTGTACCTACAGAGATCCAATCATATTTTCCGACAGCTTTGTTATTTTTCAGTACAGTAATGATAATAGAATAATAATAAAAATAATAATAATAATAGCAATAAATAGGACTTTTGTGTTATTTTCCCTTTAACATCGTTCTTTTTTTAATTGTTCTCTAATTTCTCCATTGTTCCCCTTAAGGTAGGTTTTAGTTGTATAACAACAACAATAATAATAATAGTTCATTCGTATATAGTGCATAGCAGCAAGCTGTCAATGCGCTGTACACAAATTTAAATATGGATATACATTGCAAGATACAAGATGATACAAGATACAAGATGCACTTTATTGTCAAATAGCAAGTTTCATGTTTTTTTCCATTATTATTACAGTACACCCTCTAATTTGAGACCCCCTCTAATTCTGCAATCCCTCTAAATTCAAGACCATTGTTTTTAAAGAACCAAATAACAATTATTAATCTTTTAGCTAACCCTCTAATTGGAGACTGAATCCCGAGACCACCATTTTCAGGTCTCAAAATTAGTCTCGAATTAGAGGGTGAACTGTCTTATTATTCATTAAAATTTATTGGATTATCAATATTTATATTTTAATTAAAATAGTATCTCAGCAACTATGCTAATGGGTAAATCCCAGAGTTCAATGTACATTTAAAACATTAAAATAAAACAGCCAAAGTTTACTTAACTACTACAAAGTATTCTAGGGATATAAGCACTGGTCCTTAGCAGCCAAGTGCCAATCAATTGGCCTGCTAAGCTAAACAAACACTCACCACTTTATATCAACAAACCACATTTTGAAGAAAAACAAAAGTTGTCCAAATGCCCCATTATATAAACACATTTTGAACTAGGTAGCACAAAACCACTAATATTGCTTTGGCTATTAAATTAAAACAGTCACCTTTCAATGGGCATCAATTGGTACTGAAATGTGGGAGCCGGTGCACACTTCTATATAAAATAACAGGATCTGCCTAAGGCCATGTGTTCTGCTTTCTGCCTGCCTTAGGCCCTGTGTTCTGCTTTCGGCCTGCTAAGGCCCCGTGTTCTGCTTTTGGCATAAGACCCTGTCAAGATGTAGAGATGAGCCCAAGCCCAAAATCTGAATACTATATTTGGTGATTTTAAAGATTTTTATGTACTGTACTCTATTGATATTTCCTAAAATAGCATTCGTACTGTAAAAATATGCTTCATAGCTATTTATATTATCGATTTGGTCTAGAAAAATTTCATGCATTTATGGGTACAGAAGCAAAACCTTATTGAGGGTCACTGCAGAACAGATGTCCAAAAGATCAATTGGGGATTTGCCTGTATATCTATTGTACAGTAGGCAGTGAACCTGCAGTTGGAAGAATAGAAGTGGGAAGTATGAATGCTTATTTTGAGGACCGAGGACGTGCACAGCCCTTGGTGGTTATCCATGAGGCTACTGTCAACTACAACGTACCCAGTTGATAAAGACCACTTTTTTTTTCTCTTAATCCTTTTTAACCTTTTCCCTATGAACTTTTTCTAGTTTTGAACGTCTTTCTAATCGATTTTTGTCCTTGTTCCTTCTTGAATTTTCTGCATGTACAGTTGAATATTGATGAATGAATGAATGAATGAATGAATGAAAGAACCAAATAAGAATCTTCAATCTATTAATACTAACCTAACCCTCTATGCAGAGATCGAACCCCCTGACAACCCCAAATTTTAGGATGGTGAACTGTATGTTGTTTCTTATTGTCATTCAAGCCACTGTTTCAGGATAGTACCTACTACCTGAGTCTGTCAGCACAACATTTCAGATCCAGAGACATTAATCCATGGACCTTTATGCTAAGCTCCTTGGATATTGTTGCTAAGGACCCACAAAATGACAAAGTAGAAACTTATGCAACACATGAGTTGCCGGAACATGTGCGCTTGTGAGATGCGCGCATCTTTCTGGCCCCACGTTCTGAATGGTAGTTGTTAAGTTTGATTGACATTGCGGAAAGGTCAATTGACTAAGTCATGTCTTTTTCAAATAATAAGCGCAAGTAATTCCAGTCATGGGTCTTGAAAAATGTATTAATATAATATCTGTACAATTCTGGGGAAAGAATTGAGTTAGAAATCATTCAGAATGTTCTTGCACTCACAACAAAATGTCTAACAAAAAAAAAATTGTCACTACAAAAGAAACAATTGACAATAATAATAATATTATAATAATTTATTTACTCAATAATAGTACAGAGGTATAAATATGTGACCCAAGCTCACAAACGGGCTGTAAACTCGTCCTCAGGCCAAAATGAGTTTTTGTTATAATGGCATAGAACATATCATTTACTTTAAAATGACAGTTAAATGAACTCAATTGGATGTCTGGAAGCAAAGTTATGACCGTGTGAATAATTGTCATCTTATCAACTTTCTTAAATCAAGTTTTGAAAAAATGTTTTTATTTTCGGCAGGTTTCTATTCATTTTTCATTAGCTCCCATCCGAAAATGGCTAAATTTTACCTCTTACAGTTGGAATTTTAAACTCAAACCTCAGGAATAGTAAGATTAATAGTTATACTTTATTTATTACACAAAAACCCTTCTACGCCCTATTCTGGGTATTGAGGCAGTGCGAGTTTACAGCCCGTTTGTGAGCTTGGGTCACATATTAGTCTTTTTTAATGTGGCATCCAAGAATTCAACCTACAAAGATAGCGATGAATTTTGGCACAGCTGTTGCGGTTCTGCATCTCAACCTTGAGGTCGGATGTTCAATCTCTCGCTGTGCATTCGCTTGTGCCCTTAGGCAAGGCACATTAACTACAGCTGCCTCTCTCCACCCAGGAGTACAAGTGGGTACCTGGTAGGATCAAACACAAAATGTGCTGATTACAGCTGCAACATTATGGAATTCTCCCAGGGAGCCGAGTATGTGCTCCATGTGTGTTTGATCCAATGAATGGAGGTAATAAAAATAATAATAATAATAATAATAGTGTAGTTTTATATAGCGCACATATCCATCTAATGTAAGATGCTCAGGGCGCTTGATGTGTGGACTAGGAACTCGATCAATGACTTTCTTCACCCCTAAGGGTCCCTTCGTGTCTGTGCTACCCGGTAACCCAGTACCAGCAACTCTCGTCGTCCACCACAGGGGCTGTCTGTTTCAGTACACCGGGGTATCCCCCTACTCGTCTCGAAGGATGTACTGGGTTCTTTATAGTGCACACGAGCCATTGTATACACTATAATGTGAAGCACTTGTTGTCAATAAATGCTACATAAGTGTAACATATTATTATTATACAGTAAGTTTCAATTTACACTTACAGATTGGAATGGGCAAGTTTATTTATCCATCGTATTAAGAATCAGCCCATGTCTAAACACAGCACTGCCACAATCCCACATATCTCCCTCTAGGGTTGCCACTGTTAGACAACCGGCTTCAGGGTTTATGAACACCAATACATGGTAATCTGCTTTAGTACACCCTCCAATAGATGCACAATAAAATATTCAATTCAAGAACTCTGCCAAAACATTGTAGGTGGCATTCACTCGAGTTACTCTTGAGTCTGATGACACTTGGGTCATGTAACATTAAATATTAGTATTACTTATCGCACCAATGGGAACATTGTGGTCACAGTTCAGAATTCAACAGATATTGCTAATATTAATTACTATTTCCATCATAAGTCCTACCAGCCGATTCTTGTCTCTTCCGACATGTACAATATTTGAGACTCTTGTTATCCTGCCCTCTATAGGTTATAAGTATAATACTCACTGCACAAAGTCAAACAGGTAGCGAATGATATCAAAACTAACAGTCCTGCAAAGAAAATATTTATTTTTTATTAGATTTATTACAATAACTATATAATAAAAGATTAAATGACAAACATTGAATTAAAATAAAGGAAGATATTGGGAATGACCAAGTCCCTCTAAAAAATTCTATTCAGAGGGTCCTTCAGAGGGGTATAAAATATAATTACAAAGTGATGAATGCAAAACAAAGATGCATGTTAAGATCTTAATTCCAGATAAATAATACTTGAAGGTTATGCCTATGAAAATGAACTGTAGAGGGGGCAGTTAATAGTAAAGATCATGTGTGTACCTACCTTGCAACTGATTGGATGAAGTCCAGAGATACGGTGCATTTATAACGAGGTGAATCCAGCTGGTCATCATGTCCAACGTGACATAATAGACTTAATGTTACAAGTGACGAAATCTAAGTGTGGAATAAAATAAAATTAGATTTTATACAGAATAGAAACTAACGAGTCAGAAATTGAGTATTTGAGGCCTACTTAGAAACTCAAGTAATGAACCTCATATAGCTTTAACAGACATTAACATTCTAGGCCTAGGTGTCCAAAAGAGATCATTAAGCTGTTTACATGTCTACACTAGTCAAACATTTGATTATCATAAATAGTAAGCACACTTAAACTTCCTCCGTTTAGGTTTAGGTTATGTGTATAAAATAAGCCTGGGTAACATGGAGGTCATAGGTCATACTGACCATCTGCAGCTTAAGAGAAGGTGATTAAATTATAAAGCAATTAGAAAAGTTTTTAAAACAATTCCAAAAAAAAAATACACTTTGTAGGTTTACTTGCACAAATATGTTTCTTCATGCAATATTTTTTCTACTAGCGTATTGGAAACATCTAAATGTTAAGAGCTTTTTAAATAAATTGAAAGAAAAATTACATATAAATTTTACGAAAAATTAAGAGTCTTACTTGAGAAAATATATTAGCAGTGGTTGAAACTTTAGCATCCACAATACTGTAGAATATTGCCATCAACCGATCTAATGGAAAGGCTTTAGGCCCTAGCAGCTGACTACTCATCTGAAAGAAATAAAGTGTACTGACCTGGATTTATTTTTTGCAATACTTTAATAATAATAACAATAATATGCAGGTTTTTATGTAGCGCTCTATACAAGTAAGTCTCGGAGCACTTTTCCACATTGTTACCCCAGCCATTGGTTTGATGCCTATGGGGGGGAAATTCCATAGTTTGCTGCATGAAATATATCAGAGCATTTTGAATTCAACCTCCTTAGGTACCCACTTATACTCTTGGGTGGAGAGAAGCAATTCAAATTGTAAAGTGCCTTGCACAAGGACACAAGCGAAATGCACAGCGAGGGATTGAAACCCCAAGCTCGTGGTTAAGAACCAAACCATTCCCGCTGCGCCAAACCACTTCCACAAAATTTTGAAATATTTCATGTTTTAACTTGTCTTGCTTATATTTGTAATATTTACAGTATTTTGCATAGCAGGCAATGTTTCAATACATCACGATATAGATGGACTATCATGGAATATTATAGAAATAAGTGTAAAAACTGTATTTGCATCTATTTGCTAAATATATAAAGTTTATTTCTAAATATGACTAGAGACAACATGGAAAATAATATCAGAGAGAAGTAAAAGAACAGTCAATCTCGGTTTTAGTAGATTGCTCTTCTGGAAAAACATCTATTCTAAAGCTCTGTCCATACTATCAAATTTTCTTTGACAAAAAAACTGTTGGATGCCTATATATAGTCATGATGTGCCTATATATGGACATGATGTGCCTATATATGGTCAAGATGTGATGTCATATATGGTCTGATGTGATGTCATCATGACCATATATAGTCATGACGTGTCTATATATGGTCATGATGTGATGTCATCATGACCTTATTTAGGCATGTCACGTTTTATTGTCAAATAAAATTTGATGGTCTGGACAGGGCTTTATCAAAACTAAAAAAGCATAATGGAGAATGTTGACAAGTAAAAAGCAAAACAGAAGAAGGATAATATTTGCACCAAGTAGTTGAATGCCTGTCAAACAACAAACTGGAGTTGTCAAAAATATTTGGTACTATTCCAATGCTCATATCAAGTATATAAATTCTTGTAATTAGAAATATTTGAAATAAAATATAATTCTTACTTCCAAGCTTTTGTTACTATCTCGGCAATTTCTTCAGGGTAACTGACGTATTTACACAGATCTACTTGTCACGTGATCATTCAAGCATGAAATAGAATTTTAATAATCATGTGTTCTCCTCCAGTGTTGCCGGTAGCTTGTATCTACATAAATACATCAGTTTCCCTGAAGAAATTGCTGAGATAGCAACGAAAGCTTGGAAGTAAGATTTATATTATATTTCAAATATTTCCAATTACAAGAATTTATCCACTTGGTATTAAACTTGAGTTAAAGTATCAAAAAGTTCTAATGAATCTGAGTGTGACTCACATCTTTCTTTGGATTAGGACATGCAGACTTCTTTATCTTGCCGTGGTTCTTGGAAAAGAAGCGTCTATCTGTTTTAGCTGGGTTGTAAGAGGCTAGATAAGCAGCTATCAAGAGGTACTTGGAATAGAATGGTAGCTCAACTTTTGATCTGGTTGATAAACATGTGAGGGCACCAAACTGCTCACTATCCTCCTGCTGATATTTTTCCCACTGTGAACTATATTAAAAAATATACAAATGAGCAATAAATATTTTGTGAATTTAAATGTTGCCCTTCCTTCTTATTAAAGTACCTTCTCAGACACTGATGTTCAATCAAGTCTAAATTAAATCTGTATCTTTCATACACTGTATGAATAACATCATGTCTTTTGACATGTCGGCATTGAGTCATTATTCTGTGCCATCAGCTAATTATTATCTACAGGTATTGAAATGGGTGGCCTGATGTGTAGGTGTGAGAAGGTGGTGAAGTGGGACAACTTAATAGATGAAGTGTGGGGTGGTAACTAGCAAAGTAAGGTGGTAGGAGGTGAATTGTATGTACTTCAGCATAATTTGTTTCTTTCAAAAATTTCTATGGGGGAAGAACGAGAACGCATGAAACAAACTTCTATCTACCATCCCAGTCAGCACAAAGTTTTGTCTTCTTCCGTGCCTGTGTGGAAAGTATTCTTCTATACATGTCCCAGACATGGACCATGAAGAAAAATCTAGAGATGCAACAAGATGGCACCAAAAGGTAAGGGTAAGGGTTGGGCAGAAGGAGCAAATCCTTCATATTTTGTTCCTCCATCAGCAGCAACTATACAATTATTATTTATGAAGACTTAAATTAAGAGATTCCTTGAACTGGGTCAATGTTTGTCTGGCAAATGTCAACTTGTAATATATATGATATTTATATTTCTTTTATCAAGTTTAGATTTGTATCAAGTTTATAATTCTGAATTGTGTTTACCTGGATACCTCTCTGAGGTACACAGTGTGCATAGCTTTCTTAAGGTGAGGTTCAATGTTTCTCCACAGCTTGTGAGCATTATCTGTTGTAACTTCACCTTTAATTACTGGCTCAATATACTTTGGAAAATTCAACAATGCCTGAACATAAATAAAAAATGAGCTTGTTTATTGAGTTGATCATAATCAACAAGTGTAAAGCAGTTGGGTTGCATTTATTCAAGTTTCTTACATTTACTTAAATAAATACAGGTGTTAATATTAGATTGTATTTACTTAAATAAATACAACCTAACCAGATTGCATATATATTTAAGTAAATGTACTATGATACTTAAAGAAATACAACAAACAAAAATGATGATGCTCAATGGTAAATTTAGTAAAAAAAAAAATACAACCTAATAAATAATTAGCCTAGTTAATACAATGAAGAAATAACCAATACTCTGCTAATTACCAGTAATTACCATACAAGTAGGATTAACTGGGTATGTAATATCTCTTGTCTATGTCTTAACCAACACTCCTATTCTCAAATGGATAATTCCTTTAATAATGGTATTTCTTTCTACTGATATTTGTCCGTACCGACATTATTTCCTACACCTTGTGTATCCCGGAATCTTGAAATGGGGGGGGGGAGGGGTTGATGCTGGGGTGAAAAAGTATATGGTGGGGAGGATCTAGCTAAGGAAAATAAGGTGACTGAGGTGATATTTAACCACAGGCACTCTTAGATATGCCACTCGTGCATAAGTACTGTATAAACACTGAAGAAGCATTATTTATACCCACAGCATCTGCTGAGGGTTTAACTGTTATAGCCATATTAATTGAAAATGACTTCATTCAACCTGTAGATATAAAAACCACACGATAAAAATCTTATGAAAAATATTTATAGTAATAAAATTTGAATTGGCAAAATTATGTCTGATTATATGGTAAACGACAGTTATTTCCAAGTTACATAATTTAGTAACAGTTCTATGTGCCACACTCAAAGCGAATGCATCCCAAATAATAAGAAACATACCAAGTGTCTAATTTCATTGAGGTCTCTGCAAGCAATGTAAAACACGCTCATTAAAAGATTGGCATAGGAAGAGTAGAATTCGCAAGTATAACCCGGGGGACAGTCACGAGAAACGATATCAAGAAGCTCAGCTGAAAAAAAACATAAAGTAAACATACTTTGATTATGCATGTAAACAAACTGTATGGGCTACCTTTATACTAACTATAACAAAGTTTTGTAGATGGTTTATTGAAAATTGCTCAAAAATTCCTGCTGGTGCAGTATTTGAAACTCTTGTACTTGAAGCCATAGGTTTGAACAATCAGTGTGTAATTACAAAAGGTCGGGCAGAGCAGTTTACCTCAATAGACCTTTCCGGAGTGTCAATCAAACTTAACAACTGACTAATCAGAACAGCGCTAGGAATTCGCGCGCGTCTTACAAACACACATGTTGTCCCACAAACGCACGTGTCCGCGTATGTTTTAACACTGCCGTCTTGTTGGACCTTAGCAACAATATCCAAGGGGCGGAGCTTAAGGAAAGGTCCATTGCACCTTTATACCAAGGAATATGTGGGCACCTAGTAGGCTAGAATGCTGATTACTAGCAGCGATATTATGGAATTCTCCATAGCTGTTTAATTTCATTTCATGTTATTTATTTATTCAGACAAGTGTCTTGGGGCCCCAAAAGCAACAAAATCACCATGACAAGTCTGGAGCCCCAGAAAACTAAACTTAACTACATTATTAGCGAGTATATAAAAAATAAAGGTGAAAGTGAAAGGCCAAGACAATTAAAATAATAATAAAAAAACACAGATTTTGCACACAATTGAATAATAGATAAAATTTCATAAAAGAATGATAAAAAATTTAAGCGTCGAGAAAAAATTGTTTAACTTGCCTTAAGAAAACCGAGAGAGAACAAACTGAGGTACAGTAATAATGTGCAGCGTGAAGAGATACATAAAAAAATGGAATATATTATTATTTTTATTATTATTGTTGTTATTATTATTATTATTACTCTATTATTATTATTATTATTATTATTATTATTATTATTATTAAACAAATTTTTAATGTATTCAGATAAATAAACATTTGTGAGTTGTATGAACTACTTTCTTCAACATTTTAATTTAGTTTCATCCTGTAACCAGTATGTCAGTGGCAGATCAGGTGGTGAAAGTGGCTCTTGAATCTGGTAGCAGCCAAGAAATACCTAACAAATTTTGATTAAAATGAATCAAACTTCCAGGGAGCATAGATTCTGCACTTCCATAATGAAACATATCTTCCTCTTACCCAAAGCTCCTCGGCTGTTTCTCTCCCGCCCCCACAACCACAATTGCTACAAAAAAATTCGGCAACATGTGTGAGAAATAAAATATAATTAATTGACAATAAAATAATTTAATGAAAACCAAAGCAAATTTAATAATAATACCTTTTGAGTAGTCAGGAAAATGAAGAATAAGGGGTTCTGCAAAACCAGTTCCTGTTCGAAACTTTCCCCAGACCAGTTGGCTTATGAGGATGACACAAACATTACAGTTTGAGAGCTCAGACAAACGCAGTATTGCTGGCAACAAGTTACTTTCCATTTCTCGCAGGCGCTCTGCTTTGTCAAACACCTTTGAAAGGGAATGTAATCAAACCATATCAAATTAAGGAAACAACACCAATATTTGTCACAATGATTGTGTTGGTGGGCAAGACACTTCATCTAACAATCCCACCAAAAAAATATACACAGGTATCTAGAAAGATGCACAGTCAGACATCCATTTTACGTAACCCTTGGTACCAAAGGGTATTTGTAAATTGAAAAATTATTTGTAAAGTAGATCAGGTGTCAGTTTCTTTCCACTACCTTGGCCTAGCTATACTGTCATTGAGCACCGATAAAGCTGATGGCAGCCAGGCCTAGCACGAACCAACAGTACAGCAGCAGTGTGGAACACTGTAATCGCTTGCATTCTCCCATTTAACAAAATATTAAGTGTGTGCCCGGCTTAATGAAACACTAGTTACTACTAATAAAATGTTTTCAAAAACTAATCAACTCTAATTAAAAATGGTGAAAACAATTTGTATATAATAATTGATTTGACGGTACGTTGAAAAAAAAAACATTCAAATTAACAAGACAATACAATTAAATCAATACAAGATATTACGCAATTAACCAAAAATGAATAAGATAAGAATAAGAAGCAAATAGTACAGTGTAACATAAATTCAAGTAAAGCAATGAGTAGGTTAACTTATTAAAGGAAATAAATTAAATTCCTTTTAACAAAATTACAAAGGCCTACAAAAATACTGCTTAAGATCAACAAACGATATTAATCTAGGAAACTTACTAAGTAAACAGTTTCCTCTTGTGTACACTGTTCAGCAATCGCTGACCTCAGTAACCGTACAAAATCATTTGTATTGTCACAACGGGCAAAGCTTCCATAGTTATTACTGGGACCTGACTGATACCCTGCAACCTTATTCAAGAGCTGTTCGTACATCAATCTCTGCGTGTAACACTCAACACAATTTACAACAGCATGAGGGAGCTCTAATCTTTTCAGAAGTGTTGAGACAACCAGTGATTTTCCAGTTGCTGAATGGCCGAATATAAACAGTGCTGGACAGGTATATTGGTTTCTCTAAATACAGAAGGAGCAAGTCAAAAATATGAAGCCATGTCTAGACTATCAAATTGTATTTAACAAAAACATCTGACAAGTTTAAATATGGTAATAGGTACATGATGACTATATATGGGCATACAGCAGTTTTGTTATCAAAGGAAATTTGGTAAATCTTAACAATGATTAATTCTTTGAATTTAGTATTGATTTTACTATTAATTTATGGTGACATACACAAAAAATAATTAGGCCAAGTAAAGACATCCTGTCCAAACTTAGACTTTATAATTTGACTTATCTGTACTCAAAATTATCAATTTCAAAAGGAGCGACAGATTTCTAGCCCTAAATTTTTAAATACAAATCGATATATTAGTATTCCCAGTGCAGACCTAGTGCACTACTATTTATTTTCAGGGTAGAAATCAATTAACTTGATGATCTTGAGATACAAATGTATTCCTAACTTTTTAAAATTATGCAAAATCAATTTGTTAGACTTTAAGTATACTGTACCTTTCCAAAAAGGTCGCAAAGTAAATTTATTTGGTTTTCTCTGCATGGAATTTCCTCTAGTATTCCTCTAATTACACTTTCTTCAGTTCTGTCCATGACTGACCTGAAAAAAGACGAATTTATAGTAATGTAACAATTCTCGAAAATTCACAAGATGTTGTAGTTGCGCAACCGTAACGCTCGGGAAAGGGGACCATGGTTTTCTGAGACTAAGTTCCCTTTTTGGGTCGCAGTCGCCAATTATATAGTGAGATTTTAGATTTGCTTCTTTTTAATATCATGTTTGTCAATTGTATTCTACATGTTTTAACAATGTAATAAATAATAGATCAAGGAAACTGAAATAGAGGTGGCCCAGGGATGGATTTTCAGTGTTTTTGAGACAAATAAACAAAATTAAATAAAAATATTAAAAAATATCTGCTCTTCTAATTAGCATTAAGAAAAACAACACATTTATATTACATTTACCATTGTATTTTATTAAATAGGTACTACCTAGACTAGGCCTACTACATACTTTCAGTTCAACCTACAGGCTATTACTACCGTACTGCTACTACTACCAGCAGGCCCTCTGGCTAGTTAGGCCACGGGAATGAAAATTGTAGGTTTGCGTCCACCGGCCACCTGCCTAAAAAGCTACCACACGAAAATTTTCATTATTTTGAAAAGTTCATTATTTTGAAAAAAAATATATACTTCGTTTTAAAAAACAGACTTTCTAAGCCGTAAACAGACAGAAAAACGATCTATTCATCACTGATCACTCGTCGCGAACACCGAGCTAAGGCAGGCCTGGTCACATCGCACCATGATCACCAATCACTGCTGAGGTCATTTACGGGTCAAATCGATCTTTCTGACCAATAGGAAATCTCGTATGTTTAAAGAGGTCTTAAATGTAGAAAAGGATCTGTTTTATAGGCTAGGGGCCTAGTGTACATTTATGGTAATCATTGTTTCTTGGGAATAAATGTAAAATTACCAATGCCGCGGCTGTGGACAGCATTTATAAAAAAAAATAATGAAAAATGAAAAAATGCCTCATGTGTTTTCAAAATTTTTCGGACGCAAACCTACAACTTTCATTCTCGTGGCCTTTACCAGCCAAGGCCTAGCCTGGCTGGTCCTAGGCCCAGACCTACTGAACTATAAAAAAAAACCCTAACCACTGCACTAACTAGAGCTACGCTAGCGCCTACTACTGCACTAGCTAGGCCTAGCTAGAGGGCCTATAGTACCAAGGCCTAGTAGTACGCTAGCCTGCCTAACTACTACTACCTAGCACTCCACAGGCCTAGCTAGGCTAGTAGGAAGGGGGCCCTACTAGGCTATAGTCTATAGTATAGAGGCCCTACAGTTGAAGCTATGTATAGGCCTAGCCTAGGTAGGTTAGATAGGCCCAGGCATGGGCATTTAAGACGTCATTAATTTTCACATTGTGCTAAAAAAATTAAATAAATACCAACATTTACAAACATCAAATCCTCCGTGTATATTTCTAAACTACCGCTCTCCCATGGCGGCGCTCTCTAATTGTAAGGCCGTTGAGGGCAGTATCAAAGTAATTTGCGCCCTCTAGAGACCTACTCAAGAAATAAACAATAATGAAGGATACAATACAATAAAAAGTCTTCTTTCTGGAAAGCTCATTTCAATACAATTGATGTACTGGTCTCCCAAGAGGTCCAGATTAAGTAAAAATAATTTAACAAAGTAACAGATGAAAGAAAAAAGAGGTAAAAACAATAATAATTAAAAAAAACCCCAAAAACAATGCACCAATGAAATTAAAAGGTTTAAAAATCAACCTAATAATTTCGAAATATTTACGAACATCTGGAAGTGGAAGGTCATTTCAGAGATGCTCGGTATCGGGAGGTTCTTTTCCCATGAGTATTTTCCCATGCTGATGCTGGAATTATCAATTTATTTGTGGATTGGCTTCTAGTATTTTTTGGGTGGAGAGTGTCCATGAATTAAATTAATTAGTTAATAATGGGGCAGACCCCTGTAGACATTTATCCATAATTTTGATATCGTTAATATGAACAATGGAACAACAAATCAAAAACCTACGACCACTAAATAGCTTTGAAAAACATTTAAAAGAAACCCTTGAAAAGTTGTCATATAGGTCTAGGCATCAATCAGTCAATTTATAAGGTTAATTATACTTTTCTCTTCATTTTTATTCTTCAGTTAATAGTAAAATACGTATGTAGGTCTAATTGATTTATTATTAGTCATGAAATGCATGGTTGGTGCTGTATTCAAAAGAATTATTGAGTTTACAGTATTATGATTTGATGAAGATAGTGAAATCAACGTGATGAAATAAAGCTCCTGAACCACCTTAAAGTAAAAAAAAAAAAATTAAAACATTAAAAAAAAACAAAAAAAACTATTTATTCGGGGGCGAAAACGATTATACAAATAAGAGGCGATGGGGGTGCAGGTCAACTCGGCCCTTCGCCAACTCGGACCACCGACTCGGCCGCCCACCGCACTGCCTACTCGGCACATAACCGACTCGGCCATACGCCAACTCGGCCCTTGTCAACTCGGCCCTTAACTGACTCGGCCCTCAACCAACTCGGCCCTTGTCAACTCGGCCCTTAACCGACTCGGCCCTTATCCAACTCGGCCCTTAACCAACTTGGCCCAAGAACCGAGTCGCTTTTGGAATATTTTAATGGGAAACCCTTTTAATGATGTATTAAATCTAAATACCGTAATTATATTACATTAATTTGAATGTATTAATGTTTTATGTTATTACCCACAAAGAAATAAAGGGCATATGGTACACGAACATAATGTAGAATATGTTTTAATTTTAATGTAATTATTGCAACCTTTTGACGTATTTTAATGTTATTTGTTAATCTTGTCATTTGTCCACAGGTGTGTTGGTGGTAGAATTAGCGTTAACTAGGGCAGCGACGTGGACGCTTCTACCATGTTTAAACTATTGGCATTGTTATTGTAAATTTTATGGTATTATATATCCACGTAGTAGGCCTAATGTTTTCAATGTTTTACGTATTTATACAATCGTGGGCCAACGCTGGATGGAAACGCAAGAATTAAATATATAAAATAAAATATTAAACTTGCATGCCGTCTTTGAGATCCTCAAAGATGATCCTATCATCTTTCGAATCACAAATACATTCCTGTTATTGATTTTTGGACCTTTCGAAGGCTTTGGTTTTAGAATTCTGACCATCTAATTTCGGTTTCCCCGTTCAATCAGAAAGCTAGTTTCTATGTATATAATATTAAAACTTAATTATTATGTTGAAACAGATTCATCTGGTTGTTCAAAACCAAATAAAACCCCCCAAAACCATATAAAACCTATATTTTACTATGTTTCCATTTATTTGTGTATTTCATAAACATGATCCAGGGGCGGATCCAGAGATGTCCAAAAAGGGGGGCCGAAAGGGGGGCCGAAATTTGGGCCGATCGAGACAACAATGTCCTAGGGGTCTGGGGGCATGCCCCCGCGAAATGTTTGAGTTCTAGACGCTGGAAAATAACATTTGAGGCGTTGTGGGCTATCATTTTTTTTCTTTTTCTTTCTAAATCCGCAGACAGCAGAAGATTCGAAGTTAATGAAGTGCACTGCCATCTATTTGAGCATGCCTACTTCTGTCTTAGCAGAGTGCGCCCACATTACTGAAGGCGGCGTACAAAGGAATTCCGTACAAGCGATGATTCGCTGTTGGTTTGGAATAAATAAATAAATAGCAATAGCCCGGTGAGTGATTTTGTCGGGCTTATGAATATAAAAGCCTGATAAAATGTACTGTTATAATTAAACATATTGATAATTTTATATGGAAAATATGAAAATACTATATATTTCCTTTTCATTCATCATATCATGTATGAATTTACTTGTACAGAATTAGAAACATGATCATAATTTTGGAAACGTACAAACAATAAAACGTATGACAACTATTGATACTTATTACATAAATCTCCATTTTATTTATAAACATGATTAAAATACACATCGTAATTAAATGGTAACGCAACAAACGATAAAAAGGGCGTGTCTCAAAACAATCGACCAGTAACATTTGCGTTGTTTCTTATGTAAAAAAAAAATAAGTAACATAAAGTGATACTCTAATATTTAATAATAAACTTCAATAGTACCACCATGGGAATTTATTTGTAACGTTTCTTTCCATAAATTATATACAGTACTCTATAGAGTTGTGCAACTAGAAATAGGCCTAGGTTCAAGGACAAAGTCGGTTGGGCCATTAGTGTATGGGCCGAGTTGGTTAAGGACCGAGTTGACAAGGGCCGAGTTGGTGAATGGCCGAGTTGGCTAAGGGCCGAGATAGCATGGGCCGAGTTGGTGTATGGGCCGAGTTGGTTATGGGACTTGGAGTTAAGGGCCGAGTTGGTTCATGCGCCGAGTTGGTGAAGGGCCGAGTCGGACGCTAGACAATTCAATAAAACAACAGCAATAATATTTTATATATTTATTTCTTCTAATTCAAAAGCGAATCATCGCCATTAACAGACTGGCATAAAAATCTTAACTAAAAGTACAAACAAAGATCATAATAAACATTCAGAAAACATTTTTTTTTTATTCTTAAATTGTAGATGAAATGAAATTAGGTATAAATTGTATTACAATCCTAATAAAACTACGCTAATGGAATATGGAAACTGGACAAGAACACACATTACGGGAATTAACATGAACTAGTTAAACAACATCATAGCTCAAAAAGAAAAATTAACACATTTAAAAAGAAACAGCATAGGCCTATCATTTAATAAAAAAAACATTTTTCTTGGAGAATTTGGACAAGAGGGTGGAATTAAAGGACAAGTTCATAACACTTAATTCACTTGCGACCTTGGTCCATTTCTAATAGCAAGCACAGCTTACATAGGTCTCTTCAACCACATACCCTATATACGTATATAGGGTCTGTGCTTCAATTAAGTAATGTAAGCCTTCGCTGTCTGCATTGGCCTCCACAAATAAGCCTTTTCCACGAATCGGTGGATATCTTGAAGTAATGACAATTGCGAATCAGAGATGCGTAAACCAACAGAAACAAGATAAGCTTTTGGGCTGATTTTCTGACATCATGTTATTTAAAAAATCATAACTCCATAACGGGGCGTAGTATCCAAAACATTTTCCAGCAAAATGTTCTTAAAAGACTAGTCTACACCACTTTAGGATTGAAAAAAATTGAAAAATGTTTTTGACTTCTGAAATCAATATGGAAAAAGAAAAGCCTATCTAAGTAGTGT